TATTTATAGTAGTAGGGAAGGTTAAAACCTTACCCTATTAGGATTACAACTCTAATAGGAATTAAGCTACTAAAGGAAATATACAAGATACTCCTAAATACATTAGAATTTACACAATCACATTCCTAATCCAATAAGACTGCAACACATATTTGTATTTGTTGGACAAACTTACCTTTCGAGAAATTCATTATAAAACCATTGTTGCGTTGCAAGTGATACATATCTGAAAATACAATAAAGTTGAGATTCTATTATATAGTAGCACGTGGAGTAATTCAATTCTTTATAAGAATGTACACAGTAATTTTTTTCCAATATAAAATTCATACTCGGTAAAAAATAAGGGAACTTTAACGAAAAACTCATGGTATTGTTTACTTTAATGAAAAACCATATTTTTACACTAAAAAGTCAATTCTGGTACTATCCATTTTACCCTTTATTTTATCCTTGTCGTTAAAACTCAAAATTTTCAAGTTATTTTCATTAATTTTCCTTAAAAGTAATTATTCCATATGACAGTAAATATAGATGCCACATGTAATAGTATTAAGGCTAAACTGGATGTAAACTCGACACCTGTTAGAACGATATTCTTGTCACCACGCAAGACATGCACAGTAGACGGACTGATGTAAGGCTGTATGATTTTTGGTCAAATACTAACGTAATCCTGTGCCTTCACAAACAATTATTTTCTCACGGATTAGTTTTTAGAAAGTTCTTGAATTCTCTGGAATGTATATGTTTCCCTTCCAAAATACCTAAAGCTGAACTTAGAAGAGGGGCAGAAAATGAATCAAAAGATTCCCACTACACAACAAAATAATTTAATATTTGCAACTTCCAAGGGGGGCAGAAGAATGTGAATGTCCTTGTATTGGAAGCACAAGACTCAATTATATTTGCACCTTCAATTTTAGTAGTTATTTTGTTTGGGTCTTTAAACCTTTTTTTTTTTGCCAAATTGGCCCCTAACCTTCGTAAAATGCATGGTAAAATGAGTACAACGCTAACTCATACAAAATTTGATAGAATTTACTGGTGGAATTAACAAAACAACAACTCATATTGCAATACGTATATACAAGAAGTTAAAATCATCTTTTTTTTTCTTTTCTTTTTTTTTTTTTTTTTTTTTTTGAAATGGGATGATTGTGTGTAATCTGTATATATAAAGCCAGTGTCCCAATTTGGGGTCACAGCTTCACTAAAAAATTTTGGACAAAAATGCCTTCAAGACAAAAAAAGTTCAAAAGTAGCCCAATATTACACACCCCGACCCGGCATGTTCACTAGGACTCCGAATCGAGCTGTGATGGCCGACACCTGGAAGGTGACGAAGCCATAAAGTGTAGTGATGTGGAAAGTGTGAATAAATTTAAACCTAAGAGTGCCTAAATACCAGAGTGCACTGGTGAGCGGGAATGAACTCATTTACATGTGACGTCAGAGCATAAGTAAAGTACAGTAGAGTAGGTAAGGATTATATCCTCAGAGGTAGCCACCTATATTGAGACTCGCCAAGAATCCTCATCAATACGAACTTTCAGCAGCTAAACCTGGAAGTGCGCAAAACAGAAAATGTGAATGGGCAAAAACAAAGCTTTTGAAAACACATTTCTCTTTCTAAACATAATAACCCCTCACCATAAAACCCATATAATTTCCCAGAAAATAACAATACGTACGTATATATAAATCATGCTCGGGAGCAGTGAAAACCAAGTATATGCCATGTCAAGTATCTCAGCAATGAAATAAGTAAGCCAGATAAAATAAATCAATGTCAATGATATGGCAGCCGGAGTCACCTAACGTGACATATACGGTTGAACCTACAGTTCATCATGCATGCCTGCACACGAGTCGGAACCACCTATTGTGGTATGTACGACAGGGTTGGGTGTAAATAAGTACGCTCAAGTGCTACGATCACATGAAGGCTGTGCGAATAATCGCCGGCCACCTACGAGTTAAAACCACCTAATGTGGTCTGTACGACAGGGCTGTGCACCAAACTTGGATCCAAGGTGAGTGTGCGGTGCGAGAGGTGAACATCACGTAAAGGACTATGCCCTGGCCACGGTCGGAAACTTGGATCCAAGGTGAGCGTGCGGTGCGGGATGTGAACATCATGTGAAGGACTGTGCCCTGGCCACGGGCGGAAGCACTAACAACGAGGTGCAGGATAATGAGCTCTAAATGCATCAACGTATAATCATAACCATGCATTCTACCATCATCAACATATACTTATCTAAAGCTTACCTGAATGTCCGTAGCATCAAGCAACAACATGCATATCTATACTAATGCATATTCTAAAATGTAATGCAATTGACATGGCATTTAAAATGTAAATCCATTTAAAGCAATTTCTGGGAAAATGTAAAGTATATATACATATATAGAAACCCAAAAGCCTACTCATTAGTATGTAGCAGGGTCGTAGCCCCCAAGTCTTGCCTGGCTACGCTCATCCTCTGGAAACGTCTCACCTATGTGAAACAACTATTTAAACATTAATTTACTAAGCAGATATATAAAACCGTATAATAACTTCTCATACGTTGCTCATTTGGGGTGTTTGAATATACTATTGTGGCCTAATCAACACCATGAACATCCTCATATTTTTAGAAAAAAAATTCCGATATCCCACGCGCCTTCACGTGCTGGCCACGCGCGGGCACATGCCTGGCACGTTGGACGGAAACCCTAACGCTGTTAGGGAATATTCTGTCAAATAGTGGAATTTGCCGTTATATTTACCTGATGTCGTCGGTATATTCCATCAACTTTGACGGAATATGCTCCTTTCTTCTCTGATGGTCCGCCCAATTCCGACGCCGGCCACCGCTGCTTCGCCAATTTCTGGAAAAACTTAGAATCTTAATTTCTCTTCCGTTTCAACACCAAATTCACAAATCTTATATCAAATCGAAGCCCTGAACGAGTAGAACATCATCTTACCTCTTAGAGGTCCTAATACCGACGGAATTGGTCGGAATATTTCTTGAATATTCCGCTCAAACCTGTAACTCGAGGAACTGACCTACCCTGACGTCCAATTCCTTCCAAAATTGTCCCAAGGTCTCTATGAAGTTGTTGTAAGACTTCCTTAAGCGTTAAATCTCAGTGAAACCACCATGATCACAACAGAGCTTATGGATTCTCGGCTTCCCGACGTCTACTCTTTGACATATGGGTATGGATGAACTCGTAATCTTACGAGGAGTATGATGGTGGTGTTAAAATGGTCGATCCGTGTCGATTAAATGAAGTCGTGTGGTGTTGGAGTGTACGGACAGGGAAGAATCAGGAAAGGAGAGTGTGGAGAGAGAGAAGATGACAGTGCCGTGTGGCTGTATGTGTGTGTAAGCTTTTGATTGGCTAACAAGAATAGAAAGGATGGGATTTTTTTATGTGCACCCACATCCGGATTGGGCAAGGGAATTGGATTGGTATAATTGGTCCTACAATCAACTTAAGTCCAATATTCAATTGGACCCAAAAATATAGGAACCTAAATGATTGGTTTAGGTTTTAGTCTTCCTATTTTGACCCAATTACATTATAACATTCGTATCTCTTTCGTTATGAACCTGATTTGATCCCAATATGCGTCGATGAGTTGCTAATGATGCGTACTATTTAATTACGCTAGGGAGACAAACAAATTAATTCCAAAATATGTACATCCACGTTACTAAACCTCGAGAGCATTGTCATCATTCTACACACTCGGGCATTAAAATATATATCACTTCGGGACGGGTCGTTACAAATATAATGTATCAAATAATGCACGGGTACTTTTGTCATATAAACAATATTTTTCAATAATTATTTTTTTTGGTATAGTGATTTTTTTTAATTATAATCAATACCTCATAATAGGCTAGCAATAATGTGATTCAATCAATTATTTATTAGATATTATTTTCTCTATTTTTAAACATGTTCAAACCATCTAAGAGGCACATAGTGCCGGTTATAAAAACATGTCGCTCACACGCGCATAATGATAGGATTCAATTAGTTGTCAAATGATTTTTTTTAAGCAAACGATATTATCTACACTAAAGGTGAGGAGGTGGGCTTAGCCTCACAATGGGCTAACAATAATGTGATTCAATCAATTGTTTATCAAATATTATTTTTTTCTATTTTTAAACAAGTTCAAAACATTTAAAAAAAAAAAGTCATTTGCACGTGCACAATAATGTGATTCAATCAATTATTTATTAAATATTATTTTCTTTATTTTTAAACACTTAAGAGGAACGTAGTGCCAGTTATAAAAAAAAAAAAAGGTTTTTCGCACGCGCAAAATAATGTGATTCAATTCTCAAATGATCTTTTTTTTTTTTTTAAACAAACGACGTTATCTGGGTGGGCTTAGCCTCACAATGGGCTAGCAATAATGTGATTCAGTCAGTTATTTATTAAATATTATTTTCTCTATCTTTAATGTAAATTCAATAGAATGTAGATAGAAATTAAAAGATTGATTTTATTATATGAATTCAGCTGCTTTGATTGGTTTGTGAGGAGTTTCTTCTAGTATATGAATTCAACTGCTTTAACTAAACTAATGCGTGCGTGAACGCTAGTCATATTATTAGTTTAGTTAGAATTTAAATAATAATATCGTTTGTAATCGCATTAGTTTAGTCAAGATTTAATCTTATAATATTGTTTGTAATCATAACTACGAATAGCCAAGTTAGTTAGAGCAATTAATTATGAAGTAAAAACCGTAAATTAAAATCTATCACAGTGCAATTTAAATTAGATTGAAATATTATCCGATAAGAAAAAGTTAAAAGACCAAAATGAAAGAAGCCTCAAAAGTGTAGGGAGCAAAAGATGAACTTACACCATAAGCTTAAAGACTTGGGAAAAAAAAAGAAAAAAGACTTTCAAAAGACCAGTGCTTTGAGTGATAAGTGGGCCTTTGATGGGCGTATATAAATACAACTTCACTGAAATGCTGCTTCCCCACACAATCCAAAACACTGATCGATAATCACAGTTCAGAGTTGAGAGAGAGATGAGCAGTGGCAGTAGCAGCAGCAGCATGACAACTGAAGAAGGAGATGCAGAGAATGTGAATGTGATCCTACTACCTGGGTTCAGATTCTACCCCACTGATGAGTTGCTGGTCAGCTACTACTTGAGGAACAAGATACAGGGCGCCGACTCCCATTTCCGCCACCTCATCCCTGAAATCGATGTCTGCAAGTACGAGCCCTGCGATCTTCCTGGTAACCCCACTAATCTGTCTCACTTTTTCTTCACTACCCATTTCTTATTTCTAATGGATTCTGCTGTTGTTTATGTAAATTTACAATCTTGTTCGATTTTTCTGTTTTTTTCTTCCAGAATTGACTTGGGTTGGTTTTGGTTTTTTGTTTTCTGTTGTATGCATAAATTTATGATCTTTTCAGTTTTTGTACCTCACGAATTGGAGTGCATGGGGCCAAACCCCTCCCCCCTCCCCTTAGTATAACTTAAGAGTATTAATATCGTTTGTATCTCAAGAATTGAAGTGGGTTAGTTTCAACTTTTGAACATTTTGTTTTGTTGTTGGATTTCAGCATTCTTCCCAGAAGTCCATGAGAAGGAGTGGTTCTTCTTTAGCCGGCTCGATTACAAGTACAACAACGGCACTCGCTGCAACCGGGCCACGGATCAAGGCTTTTACAAGATCACAGGAAAGGAGCGGGAGATCAGGGCTGAAGAATCCAAAGCTGTGGTTGGGAAGAAGAGGACTCTGACATTCTACGAAGGTCGTGTGCCGAAATCAAAGAAGACCGATTGGGTAGTCCATGAGTATTATCTCACAGAAACTGAGGTGGGTTCTAAACCCACCAAGCAGAAGGACTTTGTCCTCTGCCGCCTGAATAACAGGTCAGCTAGTTATAAGAAGCCGAAGGGTGGTCCGATCCACGGCGAATTAGCTGATTCGGGAGCGAATTCTGAAGATGAGCAAGCTGTTGTAAGTGATGTGATAGCAGAGCCAGTGGAACATCTGGGAAACAAAGAGCTAGGAGATGTTAATAGAAATGAGTCTCCAGATGGTTCTTGTCTGATGGACTGCAATGACATTTGGACGTTAGCTGATGGTGATGTTGAAACTGGTGGCTTGAAATTCTCGGGTTTCGATGATCCTAATAGGTTTCTAGAGGTGAGATAATCATATGCTTTTTTCTGCATTCTTTCGATTGAACTTGCAAAACCTGCCAAAATTTAACACCTGCTTGTTTGTCATCCTTAATCCACCAGTTGTGTGCTGAGATGCGAGACATTCTGAATTCACCTTCTCAACTGCCGCAGCCACTGCAGATACCGCAGCCACATCAGCCACTGCAACCATATCAGCCTCTGCAGCCACATCAGCCACCACAACCATATCAGCCTCTACAGCCACATCAACCACAAGATTACTGCCCCACCACACACTACAGCCACCACAGCCACATCAGCTGCCTCAACCACAGCAACCTCTGCAGCCCATCAATAAACACGGAACTGGGAGATATTGTGCATACCAATAACCATATTGGATGCAATGATGAGTTACATGTTAACTACATTGCAATGTTTGGAAATTGAAGGGAAAATCAACAAGAAAGGATGAACAGAAGAATGAACACAGAGATATTAGAGAGAGAGAGTTTAGAGGGTGAAATAGGATTTGTATTGACTAACTAAAATGAAGATTACGCACCATGTTTTTATAAGAGAAAGCCTTACTACTCTAACCAACTTACTAATTGTATTGCTAACTGTATTGCTAATTTGTATACTTAATACTCCCCCTTAATCTCAACTGGGGAAACCTAGTTTGAGATTAGAAGAATATCTGCAATCACTGCCATGAAACCAAAAAACAGAACACAGAGTTGAATCATCTGCAACTTTGCAATCCCACTTAATCCACCTCAGATTCATTCCATGTCAAGAACAATATGACAGAAAACCTTTCATTCAATTACCCTTTAATAGCCTTCTTTCAATCTGGAAAAGCTGAAAACAGATCTCAAAATACTAGTAAAGAAGAATATTACTAAATCGTAATACTAAGTAGTAACATGTGAAGTAGTTTAATTTCTTATAAGAACATACAAAGCTCTTTTTTTCAATATAAGATTAACACACCCAACCGTTATCCTAGTAAAGGATGATCATTCCATTTGACAATAAATCACTTATAAATACCACGTGTACAGTTATTACAGCTGAGCTAGGTATAAACTCAGCATCTGCATTCTTGTCACTCCACAAATGTTTTAAAAGGCGAAGACGAAGCTAATGATAGTCTTACCTAGACGATAGGCTCACGGAACCCAAAATTATATATATATATATATATATATATATTACTTTGTAAAACAATCAAACAAGCATGTCAAACAGTTAAATATTTGATTATTATTATTATTATTATTATTATTATATTTCTAATTCGCATCATAAAATCATAATACACCAATAGAAACTAAGAAAAATAAAATTAGCTTGAATTTTATAAAAATCTTGCTCAAAACATGTCATTTTGAGTTAGGGTTGTTTAAAATAAAATTCAAACGTGTAGGTGTCACATCTACAACACCTCAGACGCCTAGGATCGCTCCCATACACCTAGGCTAGTCTATAATTCACTCATGTTGGATGATAGACTAGTCTTAATACTAGTTTTTTAAAGCCTTGCTCCACAAGGACTTGCACAGTAGACGTAGTGCTCTGCCTTCACAAGCAATTATTTTCCCAGTATTGGAGTCTAGAATGATCTTTGAAATCTCTCGAATGTATTTCCGTCCGAAAATGGGTTGAGATCCTATCCGGATCTCAAAGTTCAGAACCCAAGAACTTCACAATTTGGACCGTTTAAGAAAGAAATTCTGGCCATTTAAATTTTTAGATTTTTATGAGATGGACCAGTATAATGGGTTTAATGAGGACATTAAAATTGAAGTTGAATGGTTTGGATTTGAATTGTATGGATCTCTTAATCCGTGGGCTCTGAACACAGAAATCTAAGATGAATCTCAATTTCTCTAAAAAGATCCCCATCCTTTTTGTAAGAATCTTAGGGATCTCCATATCTTATTTATTCATCATATATCGTGCAGTTAGTTTTTGTTAAGTCTGTTTGTATTTAATTTTAAATAAAATAATTTAAAATAATTTTCAACCATACGATATATCATGGAGAAATAAAATATAAGAATCCCTACAATTTTCACAAGAAAAATTCGGATGGAATCCAAATCCCTGCAAAAATTACTAAAGCTCATCTTACAAGAAAAAAGAGGGGGAGGGGGCCCAAGGAGAGGAATCATAAGATTCCCACTCCAGGATGAAAGAATAAAAATAAAAATTAATGTGTTTAAAGGACGATGATGGATCCATTCATAACGATATGACGCTGTCATGTTTGTGACTTGGGTGAAACTTGTCTTGGAAGCTCAAGACTTGATTATATAATTGGTGTGCTACCTACGTATCTATTTTTATTTTTTATATACTCGTTGTTAAGTTTTGTTCTTGATTTTTTTTAATTCATCTTATTTGACAGTTAAAAATTAAAAAAATATGTGAAAAGTAAAAATGAGTATGCAGATATCATACTCGTTATATGTTTACACCTGGAATTTTACTGTTTGGGTCTTTAAACCTTTTTCTATACCAAATTGGCCTCTAAACTTCTAAAAATGCACGGTAAAACGAGGAAAATACCACTCCCCTTACAAAATTTGATAGAATTATTTGTGTGTGCTGTTCAATTCAGACGATTTTTTGTTGTAACAAATCTAGCATCGTCTATGTAAACAAGAAAACTTTTCTGACGAACACAACACAAATGTAATTAACAAACTGGACACTTATATAGAAACACGTTGTGGACATCAAAATTTCCGTGAAATAAATGTTTACCTACAAATTAAATTTTGACTCGCTAGGGCTTATGTGGCACACACCATATATCTCGTCAAATTACACAGATTGTATGTAACTCATCAAAACCGGACGAATCACCAGAATGACACAAGTCAACATCTGAGATCTCCATCCAATCAAGTAAAAAAGAGCAAATTAAACCAAATCGACCAAATCCTTCAATTATGTTTTAATTTCTTAAAGTACTAATTCTGATTTATTTAATAACTATTAGTCTAGATTAAATCAAATAATATTCAAAAGGGGACAAATTAACTCTAATTTGATTAAATTATATCAATTAGGGTTAAATTTACTAAATTAAAATTTTTCTGATTTAATTAAGAGCTAAATTAAATAATTAGCTCAAATTAGATAAATCAGAAAATCAATCCCACAAATTACAGGATTCATATTAGGATTCTAAAATAAGACTCAATTGCTTGCCTATAAATATTAGGGTCAGTTTCAAGAAAGAGGACACAAAGCAAGTCCAAACCTTTGGAGAAAACCAGCAAGCTCTCTCCCAAAAGCAAACACCAAACACTTGTATTCTTCATCAAGCTCATACTGAATCAACAAACACAACAAATACATGTGCCAGTTCATCGACACTAAAACCGAAGACACCCACCATGTGAGAACATTCGTGGTCTCGTTTCATTCAAGATCAAAGTGCTTGCCACCTTGGATCAAATCTCAACACTTGAGATCGAATTAGAGGAATATTCTTGTAAAGAATAAATACAACATTTGTAACCCTAAATAATAATATTGTTTGTAATCACATTAGTTTAGTCAAGATTAAAATAATAATATCGTTTGTGTTCATAATTGTGAGTAGCCAAGTTAGCTAGAAATCTCATCAACCACAATTTAAAATAAGGAAAAATAATGAAAACTTTGAAAACTTTGAGTTTTAACAATAAGGACAAAATAAAATAGTAGAGTGAATAGTACTATGATTGACTTTTTAGTGTAAAAATATGATTTTTCGTTAAAGTGAACAGTACTAGAAGTTTTTTTTTTAAATTCCCTTTAAAATATGTATTACTGTATTTAGATTAGATTAAAATATTATATAAGATAAAGTTGAAAGACCAAAATGAAAGAAACCCCAATAGTGTAAGGAGCAAAAGATGGAGAGATTTTTTCAGGCAAGATGGTACATCACGTGTTACTCAAATAATGGGATATATATGTTAAAAATTTAATAACTTAAATAATAAAAAATTTCACCACTTATAAAAAATTATGTAGTTTAACTTTCACCATTTATTTAAAAAGATATGAAAAAAGTAAAAAGATGTATGTAAATATCACACCCTTTTTTTAAATACAAACTTCACTTGCTCTGTTTCTTCTGATTTACTCATTTGAAGGAGAACGAGGAGGGATGAGAAACATCAGCAGCAGCATTACTAATTTACTACCATGACCACCCCAACCATCGCACAATCGGCGCCGGACATGGTGGCTGCGATCAGATTCCATCCCACTGAAGATGAAAAGGCCGACTTCTTGAGGAAGAAGATGAAAAGTCACAACTCTCAAGCCTGCCTCTTCCTCCCTGTCATCGATGTCCTCAAGTTCGAGCCTTGGGAATTGCCTGGTAAGCCATTATTCTATCTCACTTTTACTAGTTCGGTGCCAAGAATTGGATGGTGTTGGAATCTCATATAATTCAAGGTATGTGTGAAGCAAGAGGTGAAAGATTTTTCCTTTTAGGGGATTAGATGGATCCACCCCATTTTGTGGGGATTCGAAGCATTAAGTTATGAGTAATTCATCTTCTACCTTCAAATTGGACAAAATTTCTTCATTTCTTCCATCAACATGTCTTAAATATTGTGATTATCCAATTCGATCCAATCTTAGGCACCGAACAGCCCTGAATCTAATAAGTTATCCAATCCAATTGAGTCTTTAGTCACCAAACAAGTCCTTGAAGTGAGTTGGTTTCAAATTTTCATTATCTCACTTTGTGTTGCAGAGCGCATGTTCCCTGAATCTCCTTATCAAGCAAAGGCGTGGTACTCCTTCAGCTGGTGTGATTACAAATCCAACAATAGTCCTCGCTTCAAAAGGAAAACAAAGCAAGGCTTCTGGAAGATGAACGGCGATCAACGGGATGTCGGCCCGAAATATTTCACTTGCAAAAAGAGGACATTAACCTTCCAAAAAAAGACCTTCCAGGAAGGTCGTAGGTCTAAATCCGTTACGACCAGCTGGAAAATGCACGAGTACATTTGCATTAAGCCTAAACGGGGTTCTAGTCCCCATCAGGCGAGGGATCAGCAAAGGGGCTTTGTTCTCTGCGTCCTCAAGTATAAACCAGCTGATTCTAAGTCTAATAAGAAGAAGCTTAAGGCTACTTTGATCCGTGGTGATTTAGCCGATGGTACTGGTAACCGTGGCTACATTGCCTCTAGTTCCGGAGATGATGAAGCTGCTACTGCTGCTGCAACGAATCATATGCCTCCAAACACTGAAGAAGTTCTGGCATACAAACAGCTAGAACATGATCTGCTTGGTAGTGGAAATCAAGATGATGGTGAACCTGGTGGTGGCAGCTCATCTGATTTTAATCAATCTCTACGCGACATGATTCAAGAGTTTGGGTATGTATTTATCTGTATTTATTTATTTGTTGTTTTAATAAACACAGGGGATTGGATGGAGGTTTTCAGATGTGTTGGGCCTCTCTCCTTCATTACTGAGCGTAGCACTTTGTGCCCATAACGGACATGAGCTAATCTCGCCTAGTCCTCTGTTTTATTAAGAAGAAAAATATACAAGCTTTTTGAATATTTTCTGATGTAAACCTGATAATCTGGAGCACAAAAGTATATCGAAACTTAATACTTGCTTGTTTTGTGATTCTTAATTTTGCAGTGGCAGTTATGTCCCCCAGCAGGTGAATATCTGAATTCACACTTTCCTCCCTGAGCCACCTCAGCCTCATCTCCCACCACAGCTTGGAAATGCTCCTGAAGTCTGCAGTGGCGAATTGGTTGATCCTGGTACCAGTGGCTGCAGTACCTATAATACCGATAACCAAGCTGCGACAATGAATCATATGGTTTCCGACACAGAAGAAATTCTGGCATTCAAACAGCTAGAGCGTGATGTGTTTGCCGGTGGTAATCACGATGGTGGTGAACCTGGTAGTGGTATTTTGACCTTTGGTGATGGTAATGATGAAACTGGTGGCTGGAAATTCTCGGATTTCGATGATCGAGCTGCATCTGATATGTTTCAAGAGGTGATATAATCGTATGCTTTTTCTACATTTTTTTGTATGAACTTGCAAAGCCTGCCAAAATTTAACACCTGCTTGTTTGTGATTCTTAATCCACCAGTTGTTTCCTGAGATGGGAGAAATTCTGAATTCATCTTCTCAACCGCTGCAGCCACCGCAGCCACATCAGCCACCACAGCCACATCAACCACAGGATTACAGCCCTTCCTCACTGCAGCCACCGTTACACACTATGTAAGAGGTAATTGAAAAACAAGAAGTTACTATGATCACAGATAAAACATAAATAATTAGAATAAAACAATCAAACAATTAATGGAAATAAACTTATCTTCCAAAGTGGAGGAAGAAGACGCCATGACTGCTAGGGTTTCAAAAGGAGTCTTCTACACTCAAGAAGCCGAGAGTCCTTGCTATCAAATAGGGTTTTTAGCACAAGATAGGATAATTACTGTGAGTGTAGGGACCCCCTAATATATAGATGCTCATCCCTTTAATCTAGCTTATTAACTGATTAAAGGGATTTCGTTATAGTCCTAAATGGTAACGAATTCTATGTCAACTAATTAAGGTTTTCATGATTAATTGCACTAAATAAGGACTCCTAAACCTAACCAAATAGGGCTTCATAATTTTCTCAACTATTAACTCAGATTGACCAAGTTACTTGTATGTCAAGAAACAGTGAGCGCATGTTCTTTGACACTCACAACTTACATTGTATATATAAAATATCACAGTTCATGTAAGAGGTAATTGAAAAACAAGAAGTTACTAGGATCACAGATAAAACATAAATAATTACAATAAACCAATCAAATAATTAAGGGAAATAAACTTATCTTTAAAAGCGGAGGAAGAAGACGCCATGACTGCTAGGGTTTCAAAAGGAGTCTTCTACACTCAAGCAGCCGAGAGTCCTTGCTATCAGATAGGGTTTTTAACACAAGATATGATAATTACTGTGAGTGCAGGGACCTCCTAATATATAGATGCTCATCCCTTTAATCTGGCTTATTAACTAATTAAAGGAATTTCATTATAGTCCTAAATGGTAACAAATTCGATGTCAACTAATTAAGGTTTTCATGATTAATTGCACTAAATAAGGACTCCTAAACCTAACCAAATAAGGCTCCATAATTTTCTCAATTATTAACTCAGATTGACCAAGTTACTTGTATGTCAATAAACAGCGACCACATAAACTTTCTAATGTGCAGCACAAAAATTACATCGAAACGTAACCCTTATCGTTATGATTCTTAATCCAGGCTTCTTTAGTCCAGAAGAATATATGGGTCCTCTGTTTGATCCATCTTCGTTACAAGATTACTTGTTGCTGTCACCAATGAACACAGAACTAGATGTTGTGCATACCAATAACTATATTGGATGCAATGATATCATTGTTGACCAGGATTGGTAACTTAGTATCCTGGGAAGAAACAATAGACCCTACTTTTAGCGACTGAAATTTACCGAAGTTACAAGCATGAGTCTAAGACAGCAACAGTGGAGTAAGAAACACAGAAAATTAGGTTTAGTCGGTATTAGCTATTCAAGAAACACATCAACATAGCTAGTGAACAGCAGGATCTTAGCTATCGAAGAACAGCAAAATCTTAGTTATCAGAAAACAACAATGGGGGACTTGTAAACCCCAAGAGCGTAAAGCACCACCTACCCTTATCTACAATTCAGGAACTGTAGGCATTAGAAACTTCTTCTGCTAGTGGTGGACGATTATGTCCAGGACAACCGATGTAGGTTACCTAAGCCTTTTCTGTTGGATTTATCCAATATAAATAAACCTTTAAGTGGTCTACTACATGTAATAGCTAGGAATGTAATATTGGAGAATAATGTTGATTGTGATTTGATCTCTTAAAAATATCAATCCTATATAAGGTGTCTTATATTGGAAATAAGATTGATGAAATTCTTAATTGAATATGATTATGATACTTGACTTGGAGACTAAGAAAGTAAGTTTAGATTTCCTTTATGGATGGAAACCCTAGCTTTTAGTTTATGTAAACACGGGTACCTATAAGCCCTAGAACACACAACATAATACTTCCCATAGAGTAGTTGTATCGGGCTAGGTGTTTATAGAAGACATTGGTGTTGTCGTGCCTTTTCTCCTTCCTTGCTCGAGTACCATGATTACAACTGGAATTAGGTTTGTCACTCTTTCGTTTGCGTTTTAATTGTATAACCTTATAAGACTAATTGTTGGTATCAAAGCCACTGGTTATATGATTAAAACCTATTAGGTTTTAGGTTGGACATTATAATATTTTTATGAGTTGCGTTTTTAATCCAAGTTATGATTGCGTATACTTGGCAACACCACCATGTTGTTTCAATCGGTACAATTGATGCTTGTTAATAGGTTATATAACCATTCGGGTTTAGTCAAGAATTTTTAATAATTTTAAGGCACGAATCCAAAAAAAAAAAAAAAAAAAAAAAAATCAAGGATAACAGCAAATCGTGGTATCAATCCTTATATATAAATCATGGTATCATAACTATTTTACAATGGAAACCATGTGAGATTTTTCTATTTCAAATATAGTTCAAAGTGATTCCTTTTGACCAGCCATATTAAGTCATGGAAAATAGCTTGGGTTAGGGACACATGAAGTCACAAGTATAAAACCACGAACAAGGCACTGAGAAGAATAACGATTTCGTTCTATTTCAATTTTCATGCTAATGTTTTGGTTGGAATGATTTACCATGTGCCACTGATGATCTCAATTTTTGTAAGCATGCTATATTTGTTTTACCTTACTGAAGAGTCCCCTCCAATTTGCAAGCAGAACGAAGTCATCTACCAAAGCAAAATGGCTTGTTTAATTGACTTTGATTTTCATGATGGTTTATGGTATTTTGGTTGATATATATTTGGGTTGATCCCTGAAAGCTTAAATTGGTAATAAGATAAAGGTATACTTGCATGAGTGATGTGCTAATTATTGTAGAGCATGTTCATACATTGAAAACCATGTTTCAGTTAAGTATGTCATGAATATGGATCCAATTATTTCATGTTTGGCAACTGTATAAAAATAGGCATATGATTAATGTGTTTGACTAAGAATTGAGATTATCAATTTTTAATCTTGTATATGTTAATATAATTCAGTTCGATCAGGAAGAGCAATGATAAATTTAAGGTTTTGCAATTTATCTAAATTATTACTCCAGTCAAGGTACCGTTATGATATAATTTGGTAGCCATAAATTTTTATTATTTTCTCTACAAAATGGCTTGAGGTGATACTCCAATTGAACAAGAAATAATTGCATAAGTGTCGGCAAATGGCATATGCAGACATGCCCCAAGTATGTAAATGTCAAATCTATCTTGTTTGTTCGCGGCTAATTTTGTTAATGCCACATGAGAGCAAGCTTGCTGGAATCAAAAGCTCCAGCCGCAGGTTTAGGGCAGGTTTTTTTACTGCCACGCGCGAGAACACCTGTGTGAGGTGCGTCCTGGGCGGACAGGCGACAAGGGGACACTAACCACCCTTCAAATGCCTCACGGATCATTGCAGGTTTTCTGTTTTCCTTTTGAATGGGTAAAATAAACTCATAAAATCAATTTTTTTTTAGTTGCATTACATGATTATGTGTAGGAAATATATGTAGACTGAATTAAATAGCCATGTCATTGGTTGTTGTCGGAAATATCCAACATGGATTCAATTTTAAGTATGCAAACATGTAGCAAAATTGACATATGGTGTGTTTTATTAAAGGGATTGTGTTCTCCTATATTGCTTTAAACTTGAGATGATCTTATGTAAAGAAACAAATGTATAGATTAGTAATACAATATACTAGTGCTTAAGTATGATCGAGGATTAATTCAAGTAAGGTTTATACTGATATTAACTCCATAAGGAATTTGCATGACTAATCAACTAGTTTTGTTTATAATTTTGTTTTCCTGTCTCAGTAGTCATTTAATCAAACGTGACTAGTTAACTATGAAAAATGGATGCATAGTTTGTGGATTGACTAAGAATGACAGAAAGTATCCAGTGACAAGGACAAGAATACTAAATGAATGAGGTTTCCAGTAATTATTTGACAATTCTCACTTGTATTTTGTCTATTCTTGTATGAGAATTATGGTTGGTCATGTGATTATATATATGTATACAAAGAAGTAGTGAACGCATGAAGGCATAAGGTATGTAATCCATTCAAAGTATGTGACTTAATTGATAAGCATGAATTTTCAAACATGTATTATTGTTTGTGGTTTTTTCTATGCCTAAAGAATTTAAACAGTGCTTTGATTAGTAAATTTTATGAGTCATAAGGGGAGAAGAAAAGAAACTTTTCAAGGCTAATGTAGGGCATATATTTGAGATGTTTTCAATGGAAGAAAATAATTTTGATTGTTCCTTTATTTAATTTGATATTTACAAAGCTAATGCATGATTTTAATGCTATGTTTAGTAGTTTTGTACTACGAAAATAAATATATAAAAGGAAAGAAACCCATTTGACTTAAGAAAAACATTTGAGTGATTTAGCTTTTAAATTAAAGGAATGTATTGTTCTTTCCCATTACATAAAGTATTTCTATTTTAAGTAATTGACTCCATAATGATAAGTATTGACATTGTTGTGGTGGAATAAAACTTGTTCCGTATGTGATTAATCTCTTTCAAGTATGTTGTCAGGTTTCTTAAGATTAATTTAATGTCAAAGGGAGTCATGAAGGAAGGAATTAGTGTCATTTGTTGGCAAGACTCGAAGCTCGAATTAGGTTATCATAATTTTGTCACTTACAATTAATTAATCCACTTGACTCTTGTATTGTTTTAGGGCGGAGTTTATCAATGCCTTTTCAGCTAAGCAAGCCGCAACGGCTTAGTTGACAATGGGATTGTGTTTTTTGAGTTGCTTCGGTCAACATTGCATCTTAATTAGAATAAAATGGATAATCTTCTTGCCCACATGTGTGGATTATTTCTTTTAGTTTAATTAAGATGGCATAGTATGGGTTTTATTTTACAGAAGTTGTGAAAGTTTCATCTGCCCACAGGTGTTGAAGTTTTTCATGAAGGTACTCTTGTGACATATAATCTAGTACTAGAAACTAGTTAATTTTTCTTGCCTGCATGTGTAAATTAATCTAGTTTCATGAAGTTTATTGTGGAATAAAGTTCCATGTCTTCAATTACAAATATTTTCACTATGAGCCCCATTAGAGGTTGTGGTTTTAAGACTTGTTGATGCATAGTAATGAACCCATGAAGGTTAATCAAGGATTGCTAAGGTACGCATTATTTAAGTATAATACTTGTAAATATTTTCAATTTGAACTGTGATGTCTATTTAGAGGATGAAATTTGATCACTTGAGATTCCTTTGGACATTGAAATTGAAATAACATGAAATTGAATTTGTTAGAGATGTTTAGATTCATGATAGATGAACATAATTTTTCTGGCAGATTGTGTCTTGATTAAAATCAGATGAATGACATGTCTAACGGTTACCAAATGACCTGAATTTTTGATATGTTAAACATATATATGTCTACAATGTGTGCAAATTTTCGTAATTTTTTGCTGTGTATTTTAATTATGGTGAATTTACTAGTAACCCATGCTCATATAGACAGTTTTACTGGCAGATTGCGTTGGTTTTTTGAGTTGTCACTTTAGACTACTATTTTGACCCAAAACGCCTCTATATTTTTATTTTATGAAGATTAGTTTGTCTATTTTGATATTTATAATTTTGGTTGCAACCAAGCTTATAAATTAATTATGATAAATTCTAAAGTAAGTGTAACTCGCTGAAATTCTGTTTGACAACTTTAAGTTGGTTGTAATGTCTATTTTATTATGTCTAAAATATAAAGTAATTTTATTTAGGTACATATTTGAAAGAGTGTTTGCCCAAGTGGGAGAATTAGTGAACGAAAATTGGGCTTCACACTCATTAATTTATTTGCAAGTATAAACTCTAAAAACTTAGTGGGAGTTCTTAAATTTTGATCATTAAGTGGACTTGCATAATACTATTAAAGCGTTATTCTGTCTTCCATGAATTTGTGTTTTGGTTGATAACTCGAATGACAATAATATGTTTAAGTTGCATGAATGGATACTTCGTATATGTGTACATTTTTGCAATCATTTGAATTCCTCGATTGATTATTTGTTAATCTTTATAAAGAATTTTGGGGGCTCATAAGGACTTAGCATAAATGTGGAATTATTAATATATATATATATATAAGATGGTTGTTGGATGCATGTTTTTGTGTAACAGTGGTAAATGCTTTCGTACTTAGTTGTACCTTTCATTGAGGTAACGTGCATTCATTGACTAAGTAAGGCTATTCCCAAAGTCATATTTTCAAAAATATGATTTAAGTATTGATTTGCAAATTAAGTAACGATGTTGCAGATTAGTGGGAGCTTGAGTTTCGTGTTAGTAATGGTTTACATTTGCAGATGACGTATAAGTTATGTATAGAATCCATGTATTCATTTTAATCTCCAGTTGGATTCATTAAGTCATAATTTTTATGTGCTAGTCAATTATCTAATGAAATATATATATCGGATATCAAGTTGTTATCAAATTGTATATTAAATGGCATGGAAAGATTTTTGCACTACCTCAACTGTGAGCATTTCCATCTGCCTACAGGTGTTGGAAATCACCATGAAAGTAACTGGTATGGTGCGTAGATCAGTGTTAAAAACATGTTAAATCATCTTGCTCACAAGTGTTGAATTAATTTGTTTTATGAAGTTTTGGGATATTTTACTTGGACATGTGCCTATTTGATATTTTCAGTTGTGTTCGTTGGCTACAAACATTGTTTGTCTTGTTACTGGTCTAATGAAAGTGATGCATGATTGTTTTGGAGATGCATTCACACCTGCAGGTTATGTTGGTTTCATTAGATGAAGGATATCTGCGTTGGCCGATTTAAGGCTTTAAAGAAGCATAAGCTGGACCTGAGGTGATATAAAGTAAGACATTTTGGTTTTTGGTTTAAAAGTTTCATCTCTTGTTCATAATTTGTGTTTCATGTGAATGAGGATCTTAGCATGTGTGATTATGAAGGTTTTGGGTTGTGTTAACCTTACGACCTTGTTAGTTCCATGTTGACAAATGCAATTGACAGAAACTGCATTAAGGACAAGATGTAATCACTATTACATGGCCACTGAAGTGACATTAGTTTCCAATCTCAAGTATAAACGTGAATGTTACATTTGGTAAACCAAGTGGGAGAATGTTGGATTTATCCAATATAAATCAACGTTTAAGTGGTCTACTACATGTAATAGGAATGTAATATTAAAGAATAATGTTGATTGTGATTTGATCTCTTAAAGATATTAATATATAAGGTGTCTTATATTGGAAATATGATTGATGGAATCCTTAATTGAATATGATTATGATACTTGACTTGGAGGCTAAGAAAGTAAGTTTAGGTTTTCTTTATGGATGGAAACCTTAGCTTTTAGCTTATATAAACACCGGTCCCTATAAGCCCTAGAACACACAACATAATGTTTCCCATAGAGTAGTTGTATCCGACTAGGTGTTTATAGAAGACATTGGAGTTGCCGTGCCTTTTCTCCTTCCTTGCTCGAGTACCATGATTAATTAGAATCAGGTTTGTCACTCCTTCGTTTATGTATTAATTGTATAACTTTATAAGGGTAACACATTCTTGTTCCTTTTGGCCCTTTAGTTTTTTTTGGTAATTTTGGCTGTTTTAAGAATTCCCTAGTTTTAGAAACTTCAAAGCTTGTTAGGTGAACATGTTAGTTCAAAGAACAGCAGTAGAAGCCAGTGTTTGAGATGTCATCAGGAAATCTACTCTCCTCCGACGAGTCCAGATGAAGTAAAGATGTCTTTTCTCAAAATCAGCAGTTGTTTGAAGACGCATATCTCACGTCAACCAGACTACGAATATTCCTTAGCAAAATTGTCTTCAGATGGTGTACTTTCTTCATCAAAAAGTCATATGAACCTCAGCGAAATTTTGTCAAATAATGTACTCTCTTCATCAAAGTAACACGTACCTCAGCAAAACTGTCTTTAACCATCTTCCATTCGCGTCTGTCCACTGGGAGTTGCTCAGAGAAGAATCCGACTGCAAAGCTGTATCACAAGACAAGGTGAGCAATCAAAGCTGAAATAGTTAATAAAAGCTCTTGTATTGAAGCTTTGGGAAGGCTATTTTCTGTTTTCACTCAACCTAATTTGATTTCTGTTAACTCTATTTGCAGGTCAGGGAAGCTGCAGAGAATTGTGTTGTTCTTCATCTGCCCGGGAAGAAAACAAAAACCGAGTCTTTGAAGCAGGCCACTATAGGGTTCTTTCACTGGAGCATCTCCTCAAAACCATCAATCAAGTCCCCGATGGGGAATGGTATAATACTTCGATACCAAGTTCAAGTTCTAGCCTCGTACTCAGGTTTTCGTTCCATAGTCGTGTCTTCTGGAAATGGCGTTATACAGGATCTGCTGCGACGTGGCTGCTGGAGTCCCAAATATATTACAATAACCAGACACTAAATGGTGATGTCCTGGTTGTCGGCATTGAAATTTGAGGTTCCATCCCTAATGGAGTGGTAATTGCGATCATTATCAAAATCGGATGATTATGATTGGTATAATCCTTTGATACCATTAAGAATTAAACATCCATCATTTGTAAATATTGCTTTAATTAATTTCCGTGTCAGCAGCCGCGTTTCTGTGCAGCATTTCTGCTTTTCCTGTACTCCTTTCATGTTGTATTGTTGTTAATTTTTCTTTTTTATTTAGAACCTTTCAATTTCAGTGGAATTGTGTGTGTTATATTCTCCTCTTTTTTTTTTCTTTTTTTTTTTTTTTTTTTTTTTAAATAAACGATATTATTTAACTAAAGGGGTAGGGGTGAGCTAAGCCTCATAAGGAGTTAGCAATATTGTAGTTCAAATTCATCTTTAGAGAGAATCAAACATAAGACCTTTCACTTATAAGTGAGGAGAAATATCATTAGACCGTAGTATTAAGTGATTATTCTCTTGGAAGAGGAATACCACTAGACCGTAGTATTAAATGACTATTCTCTTCCCAATTTTGAACCCACACAAGAAGAAAAAATTGTTTCTCCTCTTTCCTTTAGTTAGGGAGCAATAAAAGAGGAAAATTCACAAGGGTACTGATTTAGGGTATTTGAATATGTCGAGGCTCTTTTCCACCCTCCCCAGAGGTCGAAATTCATCGTTACTTGGGATGTTTTATCTTAAGCCAATTAAGCATTGTCATGTGTTTTAAAGAGATTGATTAGTTTGAGTTACCGCCATCCAGTTTTAGGTAAGTTTCTCCTTAAAGTGATTGATTGGTTTAAGTCATCACCCGTCCAATTTTAGGTAAGTTTCTCTCCTTTGGACATCTCATCAAGGTTAAGTTCCTTCAGACTTCCAATCAAGTTAAACTTAACCAAAATAATGCTCAAAACTGCACTATGGTAAAGGGGCGCATTCAATCCTTGTTTGTCCATTAATTCTCAGTTTTTCTATGCATTGCGGGGTAGAGCAGCGTGGTAGCTTGCAAGGCTCACAACCTTGAGGTCACGGGTTCAAATCCCATCTCCACAATTTATGTTTCGTCTTTCGTTTCATTTTCGTTTGTTTCGAGAAATATATCGATCAATTCTGATTCTTTCTTTTCTATTGATTCATTTTCGATCGAGATGTATGGATCCATGAGTTTATGTGTCTATATAGATCATGTTTTATGGATTAACGTAACATAATTATGTTATCTATGTATGTCACACCCAAGTAACGAAAAAAAAGACCGAAAGGATATTTGGCTGCAATCAAGTGTCCATAGTTTCAGCAATCAAAGAAGCACAAGTCCACATCAAATGAGTGCAAATTTACAACTGTTTTTCCTTTGGGTGGTGTTATTCACACGTCTATTTTTACTTATCACACGTCCCTCTCAATTTTTAGTTGTCGGATCGGATGATTTGAAGAAGATCAATAGTCAAAAATTAACAAGTGTGTGGGAGGTAAAAATGATTGTGTGAATAATACCTATCATTTTCTTTTTGTAAACGAGGAAAGGATATTCGAATTGAATTTAAGACATCTATCACTATTGGAAAGAGAAAATAGTTTAGGACATTCGGGTATAATTGGAATAGCAAGTTGCTACTGAATAATTATTTTGAGTTAATGTGTTTAGTTGTTTGTTAATTGAGTTTAAGTTTGGTGTCAGCTGTGATGATTTCTAGTAGTGTAGTCTTGGGAACAATAGTTTTAGCCAGTGGCATAGGTGAGATGAGAACATTTTATTGCAAAGCTTGTTAGGAACTTTGTAATCGCTTCAATTGTTTCAATGAATGAAAAGAGGGAAGTTTTTCCCATATCAATAAATAAGCATATTCTCTGCAATTTTGCAATTAGTGTTGAGTGATTCATCCTACGTTGAGTGACATTCACGATTAGCAACGTAGAGTTATTTTGTTGCCCCTTGTCGAGTGATTCCAGACTATTTAAGAACGGGTCAAACCAAAACGCTATGAAGTATAGACCTTTCTCAAATTGTTGTCAAAGAAAAGCTGAGGTTCATACTCCAAATTATATAGAAAATTGATGTTCTAGCATAAAGTAATTAGCAACATGTGAAGTAGTTTAATTCCTTATAAGAACATACAAGGCTTTTTTTCCAATGTAAGATTAATACACTCAACTGTAATCCTAGTCAAGGATGATCATTCCATGTGACAATAAATCACCCATAAATACCACGTGTACTGTTATTATAGTTAAGCTAGATATAAACTCGACATATGCATTCTTGTCACTACAAAAATATTTTATAAGGCAAGGGCGAAGCTAATGATAGACTCGCCTAGGCAATAGTCTCATGATACAAAAAATTATACATATATATATATATATATATAAGTATGTATATAATATAATATATAATACCTTGTAAAACAATCAAGCAAGCAAACCAAACAATTAAATATTTAACTATTGTTGTTATTACTATATCTCTAATTAGCATCGCCTACGATCGCCTCCCAAATGCCCAAGCTACTCTACAGTCCACTCATGTTGGGCAGAGGCATTTTCCTGATAGTCCCGACCAAAAAATTGCTAGACTAGTCTTTTTTTTTTTTTTTTTTTGGGTTCATTGATATTTTTACATTAAGAGGATGAGAGTTCAGCTAAATCATACAATGGACAACCTAATTTGGTATTGAATTCACCATCCACGAAATTTAAATTTAAAACTTCTCACTTCCAAATGAAAAAAAATACTACCAAACTGTAGTATTGAATGACAATTGCCAAACTACTCTTAATGTTAGTTTTTTAAAACGTTGCTCCACATGGACTTGCACAGTAGACGTAGTGGTCTGCCTTCACAAGCAATCTAGAATGATCTTGAAATCTCTCGAATGTACATGTTTCCCTCAAAAAATGAGTTGCAATTCTCTTTGGATCTCAAAGTCCAGAACCCCACAATTTCACAATTTGGACCACTTAAGAAAGAGATTTGGGCTCTTTAAATTTTTAGATTTTTATAAGATGTGTCAATAAAATGAGTTTAATAAAAACATTTAAATTGAAGTTGAAAGGTCAGAATCTTTTAATCTGCGGACTAGAAACACCAAAATTTAGAAAGAATCTCAATTCTCTTAAAAATTACTGAAGTTCATCTTTCGAGAAAAAAGTGGGAGAGTGGGGGCGGGAGAGAAGAATCGTAAGATTCCCACTCCAGGACTAAAAAGATAAAATAAAAATTAACGCGTTAAAGGACGATGATGGGATCCACTAATAATGATATGACGCCAGCCATGTTTGTGACTTGGGTAAAACTTGCAATGGAAGCTCAAGACTTCATTATATATTTGCACCTTGAATTTTAGTAGCTGTTATGTTTGGATCTTTAAACCTTTTTTTGGAATTTGAATCCTCTCCGGATCTTTTTTTTGAGGGATCCCGATTATCAGAACGACCGTTCATCAAACATCGTGCGATTATAATTAAATGTTTTTTATACTTTTAAAAGTAAAACAATCTCGTTTTACGTAAAAAATATTTAATTATGATCGCACAATTTTTGATAAACAGTCCTTATACCTTGATCTCTGAAATCCCCAGAAAAAAGATCCGGAGAGGATCCAAATTCTAAAAAAAGGTTTAAAGATCCAAACATAACAGCTACTAAAATTCAAGGTGCAAATATATAATGAAGTCTTGAGCTTCCATTGCAAGTTTTACCCAAGTCACAAACATGGCTGGCGTCATATCATTATTAGTGGATCCCATCATCGTCCTTTAACGCGTTAATTTTTATTTTATCTTTTTAGTCTTGGGATCCCAGGAAGAATCCGGAAAAGATTCAAATCCCTTTTTTTTTACCAAATTGGCCTTTACAATTTAAAAAATGCATGTTAAAATGAGGACAACATTAATCCCTTTACAAATTTGATAGAGTTCACACGTGTTTGCTATTCAATTCAGACGGTCTTTAGTTGTAACAAATCCAACGTCGCCTATGTAAACAAAAATGCTTTTCGGGCGAACACATAACAAATGTAATTAAAAAAACGAACACTCATATTGAAATATTGGACATCCAAACTTATGTGAATTAAATGTTCACCTACAAAGTAAATGTTCAATTCATACCCTTTTTTGTTGCAAAAAATCCACCGTCACCCATGTAAACAAGAAAGCTTTTCGAACAAACACAAAACAAATGGAGTTTTAACGAAAAGTCCACGGTACTGTTCACTTTAACGAAAAACCACATTTTTGCACTAAAAATTCAATCATGGTACTATTCACTTTACCCTTTATTTTGTCCTTATTATTCAAACTCAAAATTTTCAAGTCATTTTTATTAGTTTTCCTCAAAACAAATGTAATTAACAAAACGAATAATAGTTAAAGGTAAATTTGGACCACATTATTGTTAGCCTATTGTAAGGCTTAGCCCATTCCCCCACCCTATTTAGTGTAGATAATATCATTTGTTAAAAATAAAAATAAAAACAAAACGAATACTCATATTGAAATACTGGACATCGAAATTTATGTGAAGTGAATGTTCACCTACAAATTAAATTTTGACTCGGTTGGGCTATGTGGCACACCAAAAAGCAACCGGCTCTTTCCAGGTTCATAGGTCTCGCCAAATTGCATATATTGCGTGTGACTCATCAAAGCCGGACGAGTCACCAAAAGTGACACATGTCAACATCTGAGACCTCTGCCAAACAAATCAAATCAAGTAAATAAAGGACCAAGTTAACCTACTTGATCTTATCCACTCAATTATGATTTAATTTTTCAAATTGATGATTCTAGTTTAATTAATAACTGTAAGTCTAAATTAAATCAAATCAAATCAAATACAAAATGGGACAAATTAACTCTAATTTAATTAAATTATATTAATTATGGTTAAATTTCCTAAATTCAAATTTTCTGATTTAATTAAGATCTAAATTAAGTAATTAGCTCAAATTAGATAAATTAGAAAATCAATCCCACAAATTACGAGATTCAGATTAGAATTCTAAACTAAGACTCAATAGCTTGCCTATGCCAAAGCAAACACCAAATACTCAAACACTTGTGTTCTTCATCAAACTCGTATAGAATCAACAAGCACAACAAATACACGTGCCGGTTCATTCACATAAAGCCGAAGACACCCACCACATGAAACCACTCGTGATCTCGTTTCATTCAAGATCAAATCTTGACGACCTTGAAGAAATCTCATCCCAATTCAAGATCAAAGTGCTTGCCACCCTTGGATCAAAACTCAACACTTGAGATTGAATTAGAGGAATATTCTTGTAAAGAACAAAATACAATGTTTGTAACCCTAAATAATAATATCGTTTGTAATTAGATTAGTTTAGTCAAGGTTTAAAATATTAATATCGTTTGTGATCATAATTGTGATTAGCCAAATTAGCTAGAGTAATGAATAATGAACTCATCAACCACAATTTAAAATTTGTAATACTGTAATTGATTAAATTAAAATATTATCCAATAAAATAAATTTGAAAGACCAAAGTGATAGTAACCCCAAAAGTGTAGGGAACAAAAGATGAACTTTCACCATAAGTTCAAAGACTTGGAAAAAAACACTAGTCAATTTCAAAAGATGAACTTACCCCATAAGCTCAAAGACTTGGAAAAAAAACACTAGTCACTTTCAAAAGATGAACTTACCCCATAAGCTCAAAGACTTGTAAAAGACAAACAAATACAAATTACAAAGTAAAAGACATGATAGAAAGAGGGTGAAATCCACACTCAATGTCATCTTCACATAAATAATGTTAGAAAAGCAAAATTTATAAACGAAAGTTTATAGATTAAATGACACACCCCAACCGAGATCAGGGCATGTTGGCCGTCACGTGGAGATGATGTAGCCATGTGCACAGTGCGGAAGCTAAAGGAAATAATATAAAAGTACGAATAATTTAAAACTAGCATATGTAATGTGATAAAATAAGTGCTAGCGTAAGTGAGACGCTGAATTTAGAGCCTAAAGACTACAGCAGTCCAAAGAAAAGATACAACAATAGTGCACCCGAAGGTGACCCTACATCGGTGCGTGTCTGTCAGAAATGCCGGGACGTCCTCTGGGAAAACCACCGAACCCGCTAAGCTACTAGAACCTGGAGGGGCGCAAAACAAAAGCGTGAGTGGGCAAAAACAAAGCTCTTTGAAAACCATTTCATAAAATATATTCTAACCCCTCGCCGTAAAATCTGTATACTTCCCAGTAAATAAACATATATACGTATGTATAAATATGCCAATCATGCTCGCTAATATGCCATGTCAAGCCTCATAATGAAATGCAGGTGCTCAGGTATAAATCACATCAATAGCATAACATCTGACAGCCGGAGTCCCCTAAGTGACCTGTACGGCTGAATCTAGAGCTCAAATCTCAATCTCCATAACTAAACCTGCCCACGAGTCGGAACCACCTAAAGTGGTCTGTACGACAGGCCTGGGTGTAAAACATATAAACGCTCTAGTGCTACGATCACGTGAAGGCTGTGCGAATAATCGCGGGTCACCTACAAGTCGGAACCACCTATAGTGGTCTGTACGACAGGACTGTGCACCTAACTTGGATCCAAGCTGAGCGTATGGTGCGGGAGGTGAACAACACGTGAAGGACTGTGCCCTACTCTGGGCGAAAGCACTAACACCGGGGGTGCAGGTTATGAGCTCTCAAGCACCTCTAATCACCATTTAATGCAAAGGTTAAATAACGCTTACCTGGCACTTACCTGCTCCTCCACATCACCAAATATAATTATGCATATGTATATGTATGCCACTACTAATGCATGCGATGGTGCATAAACGATAATAATATGGTGCATGGCATAAACAATTAACCCTTTTTAAACAATTTCTGGGAAAATAAATGTATATAGGTATATACGGAAAACCAAAAGCCCACTCACTGGTATGTGGAAGGGTTGTAGCCCCCCTGCCTCGAATGTGCACGCTCGTCCTCGGGATACGTGTCACCTATATGCGAATTAACTGTCTTCAAACTCAAAAACCAGCCAACTTCGAACCAAGCTTTCCCGACGTCCAAATTTGTCCAACGAAGCACTCCGAGACTCCTGGGAACCTCACAAACACAACTACAAGCTGAAAATGGCACTACTGGACTCCTCTCAGCCTCACGAACTTGATGGTGTACTTGGTTCCCTCGATCTGCAAAGATTTGGTGGGTTGTGGATTTGTCCGTACACTCGAAGGAAGAAGAAGAAAGAAAGAAGGGAGCTCGGGGGAGAGAGAGACAGGGAAAGGAAGAGAGAGACAGTGAAGGTGAGAGTATGTGGGTGGCCCAGTACCTGCCAACTCCACACCAAGCAACCAAAAAAACGATATAACGAAAACAAACTAGGGGTAGAAAGGTCATTTCATGTGTACGTTTTAATAATCTCGGGACGGGATGTCACATTAAATGACATGAAAATTGACAATTGAACTACTGCTTAAACGTTGATATATGTTCTCTTTTTTTATCAATGACACATCATTTAATTTTAACGATACTACTTCCACACCAGAAAGAAAATTTAATTTGGCACATTCTTACCCAACGTGTTAACACAACAGTGGTTTGGCGTCATCATCATCATCTCAAAGACCTGGGAGTCTACGGAAGTCAAAGAGCACAGTTGCACTGACTGAATTGCGTGACTTTGTCTCTAAATACAAACTTCACTTCACTTGCTCTGCTACGTCTGCTTTGTTCTCTGAAGGCAAAAAACATCTGATAATCTTGGTTTCCAAATTTCCAAAGCATTTAAAGGAGGAGGAGGGATGAAAAACATCAGCAGCAGCAGCAGCAGCAGCAGCAGCACTACCATGACCACCACAACCACCGCACAATCGGTGCCGGACATGGTGGCTGCGATCAGATTCCATCCCACTGAAGATGAAAAGGCCGACTTCTTGAGGAAGAAGATGAAAAATCACAACTCTCAAGCCTGCCTCTTCCTCCCTGTCATCGATCACCGCAAGTTCGAGCCTTGGGAATTGCCTGGTAACCCATGATTCTATCTCACTTTTTCTCGTTCGCTCGTGAAGCAAGAGGTGAACGATTTTTCTTTTTAGGGGATTAGATGGATTAGACATGAAGAAAACTTATCCCTTCGAATCCTACCCATTTTGTGGGGATTCGAAGCATGAAGTTTCGTTATGAGTAATCCATCTTCTACTTTCAAATTGGACAAAATTTCTTCATTTGTTCCATCAACATAGCTTAAATATTGTGATTATCCAATTCGATCCAATCGTAGGCACCGAACGAGCCCTGATTCTAATGAATTATCCAATACATTTGAATTTTTAGTCACCAAACAAGTCCTTGAAGTGAGTTGGTTTCAAATTTTCAGTATCTCACTTTGTGTTGCAGAGAGCATGTTCCCTGAATCTCCATATCAAGCTAAGGCGTGGTACTCCTTCAGCTGGTGTGATTACAAATCCAACAATAGTCCTCGCTTCAAAAGGAAAACAGAGCGAGGCTTCTGGAAGATGAACGGCCATCAACGGGATGTCGGTCCGAAACATTTCACTTGCAAAAAGAGGACATTAACCTTCCGAAAAAAGACCTTCCAGGAAGGTCGTAGGTCTAAATCCGTTACGACCAACTGGAAAATGCACGAGTACATTCGCATTAAGTCTAAACGGGGTTCTAGTCCCCATCAGGCGAGGGATCAGCAAAGGGGCCTTGTTCTCTGCGTCCTCAAGTATAAACCAGCTGATTCTAAGTCTAATAAGAAGAAGCTTAAGGGTACTTCGATCCGTGGTGATTTTGCTGATAGTACTGATAATCGTGGCTACATTGCCTCTAGTTCCGGAGAGGATGAAGCTGCTACTGCTGCTGCAACGAATCATATGTCTCCAGACACGGAAGAAGTTCTAGCATACAAACAGCTAGAACATGATCTGCTTGGTAGTGGAAATCAAGATGATGGTGAACCTGGTGGTGGCAGCTCATCTGAATTTAATCAATCTCTACGCGACATGATTCAAGAGTTTTGGGTATGTATTTATCTGTATTTATTTATTTGTTGTTTTAATAAACACAGGGGATTGGAGGGAGGTTTCTAGATGTGTTGGTCCTCTCTCCTTCATTACTGAGAGTAGCACTTTGTGCCCATAACGGACATGAGCTAATCTCGCCTAGTCCTCTGTTTTATTAAGAAGAAAAATATACAAGCTTTTTGAATATTTTCTGATGTAAACCTGATAATACTGAGCACAAAAGTATATCGAAACTTAATACTTGCTTGTTTTGTGATTCTTAATTTTGCAGTGGCAGTTATGTCCCCCAGCAGGTGAATATCTGAATTCACACTTTCCTCTTCCTGAGCCACCTCAGCCTCATCAGCCACCACAGCTTGGAAATGCTCCTGATGTCTGTAGTGGCGAATTGGTTGATCCTGGTACCAGTGGCTGCATTACCTATAATACTGATAACCAAGCTGCGACAATGAATCATATGGTTTCCGACACAGAAGAAATTCTGGCATTCAAACAGCTAGAGCGTGATGTGTTTGCCGGTGGTAATCACAATGGTGGTGAACCTGGTAGTGGTAATTTGACCTTTGGTGATGGTAATGATGAAACTGGTGGCTGGAAATTCTCGGATTTCGATGATCGAGCTGCATCTGATATGTTTCAAGAGGTGATATAATCGTATGCTTTTTCTACATTTTTTTGTATGAACTTGCAAAGCCTGCCAAAATTTAACACCTGCTTGTTTGTGATTCTTAATCCACCAGTTGTTTCGTGAGATGGGAGAAATTCTAAATTCATCTTCTCAACCGCTGCAGCCACCGCAGCAACATCAGCCACCACAGCCACATCAACCACAGGATTACTGCTCCTCCACACTGCAGGCACCATTACACACTTTGCCAGGAAATGTTTCCTATGTCTATGGTGATTGCACAAGGCGGCAATCTTTAATTCCAGATAATATTTCTTATCTGGGATATAAGAATAATATTTCAACCTGTGATCCCAATGAACAAGTTAGCAAACTTAATGGTGTTCACGATCGAGCTACAGAGGAAATGTTTTCAGAGGTGAGAATGTGGCCTTTGAATGTTGTTTTCTTCATTTTATATCAACTTCCTAATATGACCAAGACTATTAACGTTTTCTCGTTATGATTCTTAATCCAGGCTTTTTTTCAACCACATGAATGTATGGGTCCACCGTTTGATCCGTTACAAGATTACTTGCTGCTGTCACCAATGAACACGGAACTGGGAGATGGTGTGCATCCCAATAACTATATTGGATGCAATGATGAGTTGCGATCTCCAGATGATATGGAGATTCAAACTCGTTTCCCATGAAGTTCTTGATTTATCATTGTTGACCAGGATTAGTAATTTAGTATCCTGGGAAGAAACAGCGTACCCTACGTTTAGTGACTCTAATCTACCAGAGTCACAAGCACGAGTCTTAAGATGGCAACAGCAACATAGGTTTAGTCAGTATTAGTTACTCAAGAATAGCTAGTGAACAACAAGATTTAATTATCGAAGAACAGCAAGATCTTAGTTATCGAAGAACAGCAAGATCTTAGTTATTGAAAAACAGCAATAGGGGACTTGTAAACCCCAAGAGCTCTAGCAAGAGTAGAGCATCACCCTTATCTACAATTCAGGAACTGTAGGCATTATGTCCAGGACAACCGATGTAGGTTACCTAAGCCTATTCTTGTTCCTTTTGGCCGTTGTAAGAATTCCCTAGTTTTAGAAACTTGAAAGCTTGTTAGGTGAACATGTTAGTTCAAAGAACAGCAGTAGAAGCCAGTGTTTGAGATGTCATGAGGAAATCTACTCTCCTCTGACGAGTCCAGATGAAGTAAAGATGTCTTTTCTCAGAATCAGCAGTTGTTTGGAGACCGCATATCTCATGTCAACCAGGCTACGAGTATTCCTTAGCAAAATTGTCTTCAGATGGTGTACTTTCTTCATCAAAAAGTCATACAAACCTCAGCAAAAATGTGTCAAATAATGTACTCTCTTCGTCAAAGTAATACGTACCTCAGCAAAACTGTCTTCAACCATCATCCATTCGCGTCTATCCACTGGGAGTTGGTCCGAGAAGAATCCGACTGCAAAGCTGTATCACAAGACAAGGTGAGCAATCAAAGCTGAAATAGTTAATAAAAGCTCTTGTATTGAAGCTTTGGGAAGGCTATTTTCTGTTTTCACTCAACCTAATTTGATTTCTGTTAACTCCATTTGCAGGTCAGGGAAGCTGCAGAGTATTGCATTGCTCTTCATCTGCCCGGGAAGAAAACAAAAACCATGTCTTTGAAGCATACGGTTTTGAAGCAGGCAACTATAGGATTCTTTCACTGGAGCATCTCCTCAAAACCATCGATCAAGTCCCCGTTGGGGAATGGTATAATACTTTGATACCAAGTTCTAGTTCTAGCCTCGTACTCAGGCTTCGTTCGACTATTCTGGAAATGGCGTTATGCAGGATCTGCTGCTGCGACATGGCTGCTGGAGTCTCAAATATATTACAATAACCAGGCACCAATGGTGATGTACCGGTTGTTGGTATTGAAATTTGAGGTTCCGTCCCTAATGGAGTAGCAAGTACAATCATTATCAAAATCGGATGATTATGATTGGTTTAATCCTTTGATAACCTTCAGAATTAAACACCCTTTCTTATGTAAATATTGCTTTACTTAATTTCCCTGTATCAGCTGCTGCGTTTCTGTGCAGCATTTCTGCTTTTCCTGTACTGCTTTCATGTTGTATTGTTATTAATACTGTTTATGTGCAACCTTTCAATTTCTTGGAATTTCGTTTATTATATTCTCCTCGTGGTTTTTTATACGTCCTTATATTTTTATACCAGGGAAATAAGGAATAAATTGGTCGAACTAGTATTTGAATCCATAAATAAGGAAAATGTTTCTCCTTCCTTTAGTTAGGGAGCAACGGGAGGAAAATTCAGGGTGCTGATTTAGGGCATTTGGATATGCAGAAGCTCACCATTTGACCCGCATCGACGCCAACCCGTCATATCCAAAATCAAACACAGCGCCATTACGGCCGACGACTCCATACACGAATACATGAATCCGGCTGCTCGTACTTCCATCGTTGTTGATAATCCCGTACCGTTTCATACCAAAATCTTTCGAATTTTGCAAATTCAAGAAATTTTATGTATTTAACGAATTCTTTTTTATACATATCAATGTACAAAGTGTGAGAAGTTAGAGAACTTTAAAACCTCACTTTGAAGGCTTGCCTAGAACCCTCAAAATCTCAAGACCGATATTGTTGCAGTCCTTTATAAAAACATACAAAACTCTTCTTTTTCTACAACATTGTGTAGTATTATTACAGCTAAGCTGGATGTAAACTCGAAATCTGTAACAACATTGTTGTCACTCCACAAGGACATGCACAGTAGACGTACTGACGTAATGCTTTGCCTTCAAAAACAATTATTTTCCACGTATGAGATTCTAGAAAGTTCTTAAATTCTAGAGTACGTTGATATGATGCAGCCATGTCCAACACTCAGGTCAAACTTGCATTGGAAGTTCAAGACTTAATTATATATTTGCACCTTCAATTTTGGTAGTTGTTCTGTTTGAATCTTTAAACGTTTTTTTGTTCCAAATTGGCCCCTAAACTTCTAATATTGTGTGGTAAGATAAGGACAACACTTCAACCCCTACAAAATTTGATAGGATTCAAACAGTTTTTGGTTGTAACAAATCTAGAGTTGCTTATGTCAACGAGAAAACTTTTCAAACAACCACAAGACAAATTAATTAACAAAACGATCACTCATATTGTAAAATCATATTGTTTAGTTTAGCCAGAATTTAGATTAGTATTATCATTTGTAAGTTTAATCAGAGTTAAGATAGTAATATCGTTTGTGATCATAACTGTGTAAATTTGGGATTAGCCAAGTTAGCGAAAGCAATTTGCTGACCTCTTCTCGCCCAAGTTAAAATTTATCACAACATAATGTAAATTAGATTACAATATTACTGGAATTAAAGAAATTGTGATAAGAAATAAATGGAAGACCAAAATGAAAGAAACCCTAGAAGTATAGGGAGCAAAAGATGAACTTACACCATAAGCTCAAAGACCCGGAAAAAATACTAGTCAACTTTCAATAGTCCAGTGCTTTGAGGGATAAGTGGGGTCTTTGATGAGCGTATATAAATACGACTCCGCTCGAATGCTGCTTCCCCACAGAACCCAAAACACCGATCAATAATCACAGTTCAAAGTTGAGAGAGAGAGAGAGAGAGAGAGAGAGAGAGATGAGCAGTAGCAGCATCAGCAGCTGCATGACAACTGAAGGAGATGCAGTGCATGTGAATGGGATCCTACTACCTGGGTTCAGATTCTACCCCACTGATGAGTTGCTGATCAGCTACTACTTGAAGAACAAGATACAGGGCACAGACTCCCATTTCCGTCACGTCATCCCTGAAATCGATGTCTGCAAGTACGAGCCCTGCGATCTTCCTGGTAACCCCACGAATCTGTCTCACTTTTTCTTCACTACCCTTTTCTTATTTCTGATGGATTCTGATGGATTCTGATGTTGTGTATGCAAATTTACAATCTTGTTCCATTTTTCTCTTCTTTGTCATCCAGAATTGAATTGGGTTTCCATTTTTGTTTTGTTTTGTGATTCCAGTGCTCTATTTCTTTTGTATGATGCTGTTGTATGCATATATTTATGATCTTTTCAGTTTTTGTGTTTTTGTATCTTAAGAATTGGAGTGCAAGGGTGGATTGCCCGGGTTCAAACCATTGCGCCCCGGGCAAACCCTCCCCCCTCCCCTTAGTATAAACTTAAGAGTAGTAATATCGCTTGTCGCTCAAGAATTGGAGTGGACTGGTTTCAAATTTTGAACATTTTGTTTTGTTGTTGGATTTCAGCATTCTTCCCACAAGATCATGAGAAGGAGTGGTTCTTCTTCAGCCGGCCCGACTACAAGTACATCAACAGCACTCGCTGCAACCGGGCCACGGATCAAGGCTTTTACAAGATCACAGGAAAGGAGCGTGAGATCAGGGCTGAAGAATCCAAAGCTGTGATTGGGAAGAAGAGGATTCTGACCTTTTACGAAGGTCGTGTGCCGAAAGCAAAGAAGACCGATTGGGTAGTCCATGAGTATTATCTCACAGAAATTGAGGTGGGTTCTAAACCCACCAAGCAGATGGACTTTGTCCTCTGCCGCCTGAAGAACAATTCAGCTAGTTATAAGAAGCCGAAGGGTTATCCAATCTGGGGCGAATTAGCTGATTCAGGAGCGAATTCTGAAGACGATCAAGCTGTTGTAAGTGATGTGCTAACAGAGCCAGTGCAACATCTGGGAGAAAAAGAGCTAGAGATTAGCCAAGTTAGCTTGAGCTTTGATGATGGTGATGATGAAACTGGTGTCTGGAAATTCTCGGATTTCGATGATCCAGCTATGTTTCTAGAGGTGAGATAATCATATGCTTTTTCTGCATTCTTTCGTATGAACTTGCAAAACCTGCCAAAATTTAACACCTGCTTGTTTGTGATTCTTAATCCACCAGTTGTGTGCTGAGATGGGAGAAATTCTGAATTCACCCTCTCAACCGCTGCAGCAGACACCACAGCCACACCAGCCACCGCATCCACATCAGCCTTCACAGCCACATCAACCACAGGATTACTGCCCACCCACACTGCAGGCACCGTTACACGCTTTGCCGGGAAATGTTTCCTATGTCTATGGTGATTGCACAAGGCGGCAATCTTTAATTCCAGATAATACTTCTTATCTTGAATATAAGAATAATATTTCAACCTGTGATCCCAATGAACAAGTTAGCAAACTTAATGGTGATCACGATCGAGCTACAGAGGAAATGTTTTTAGAGGTGAGAATATGGTCTTTGAATGTTGTTTTCTTCATTTTATATGAACTTTCTAATATGATCAAAACTTCTAACGTTTTCTCGTTATGATTCTTAATCCAGGCTTTTTTCCAACCACATGAATGTATGGGTCCACTGTTTGATCCGTTACAAGATTACTTGCTGCTGTCACCAATGAACACGGAACTGGGAGATGGTGTGCATCCCAATAACTATATTGGATGCAATGATGAGTTGCGATCTCCAGATGATATGGAGATTTAAACTCTTTTCCCATAAAGTTCTTGATCTATCATTGTTGACCAGGATTAGTAATTTAGTATCCTGGGAAGAAACAACGCACCCTACTTTTAGTGACTCTAATCTACCAGAGTCACAAGCACGAGTCTTAAGATAGCAACAGCAACATTGGTTTAGTCGGTATTAGTTACTCAAGAATAGCTAGTGAACAACAAGATTTAATTATCGAAGAACAGCAAGATCTTAGTTATCGAAGAACCACATGATCTTAGTTATTGGAAAACAGCAATAGGGGACTTGTAAACCCCAAGAGCCCTAGCAAGAGTAAAGCATCACCATAGTCTACCTTTCAGGAACTGTAGGCATTAGAAACTTCTTCTGCCAGTTTTGGACGATCATGTCCGTGACAACCGACGTACGTTCCCTAAGCCTGTTCCTCTTCTTTTTGGCCGTTTTTAAGCATTCCTTAGTTTTAGAAACTTCAAAGCTTGTTAGGTGAACATGTTAGTTCGAAGAACAGCAGCAGAAGCCAGTGTTTGAGATGTCATCTGGAAAGCTACTCTCTTTCGACAAGTCTAGATTAAGCAAAGTGTCTTTTCTCAGAAGCAGCAGTTGTTTGGAGACCGCGTGTCTCCTGTCAACCAAACTACAAATATTCCTCAGCAAAATTGTCTTTAAATAGTGTTCTCTCTTCATCAAAAGTCAGACGAACCTCAGCAAAATTGTCTTCAAATTATCTACACTCTTCATCAAAAGCCATACGTACCTCAGCAAGACTGTTTTCAACCATCGTCCATTCGCATCTATCCACTGGGAGTTGCTTTGAGAAGAATCCGACTGCAAAGCTGTATCACAAGACAAGGTGAGCAATCAAAGATGAAATAGTTAATAAAAGCTCTTGTATTGAAGCTTTGGGAAGGCTATTTTCTGGTTTCACTCAACTCAGTTTGATTTCTGTCAACTCTACTAGCAGGTCAAGGAAGCTGCAGAGTATTGCATTGCTCTTCATCTGCCCCAGAAGAAAGCAAAAACCGAGTCTTTGAAGCAGGCAACTGTAGGTTTCTTTCATTGAAGCATCTCCTCAACACCACTTATCAAGTCCCCCGACGGGGAATCGTATAATACTTCGCACCAAGCTCTAGTTCGAGCCTCGTACTCAGGCTTTCCTTCCACAGTCGTTTATTCTGGAAATGGCGTTATACAGGATCTGCTGCGACATGGTTTCTGGAGTCTCAAGTATGTTACAATAACCAGACACTAATGTTGATGTACTGGTTGTTGGTATTGAAATTTGAGGTTCCATCCGTAATGGAGTGGTAATTACGATCATTATCAAAATCGGATGATTATGATTGGTTTAATCCTTTGATAACCTTCAGAATTAAACACCCATCTTATGTAAATATTGCTTTGATTAGTTTCCCTGTATCAGCTGCTGCGTTTCTGTGCAGCATTTCTGCTTTTCCTGTACTCTTTTCATGTTGTATTGCAGTTAACGTTGTTTATTTAGAACCTTTCAATTTCAATGGAATTTTGTGCAGTATATTCTCTTTTTTTTTTTTTTTAATACAAAGTTATATATTTTTTGTAGGGGTTTTTTGAAATAGGTCCAAAATAACTAAAAATTGGACCTATTTCAAAAGTCAAAAGTCACTAAAAATTGGACCTATTTCAAAAGGTAGTCTATAAAATTGGATCTATTTCAAATTTTCCCTTTTTTGTAAGGGTTTGAGGAATAAATTGGTATCGAACTAGTATTTGAAACCACACAATAAGAAAAATTGTTTTTTCGCTTTCCTTTAGTTAGGGAGCAACAGGAGGAAAAGTCACTAGAGCACTGATTTAGGGCATTTGGATATGTCGAGGCTCTTTTCCACCCTCCCTGAAGGCAGAAACTCATCTACAATTGGACGTTTTATCTCAAGCTAATCAAGCATTGCCATGTGTTTTTAACTTTCTAGCAGTGATTGATTGGTTTGAATAACCGCCACAATGGCACTCCAGTTATAGGTAAGTTTCGTTCCTTTGGACACCCCGTCAAGGTTAAGTTCCTTTCGATTTCCAATCAATGGTAAAAACTTAGAACCACAATAAAATCTGAAAGCTGAAAGTTTATAGTAGAATGCTAAAAAACTGCACTCTATTTCATTACTGTGACACACATCTTACATATTTACACCACATTTTACAGCAGCCAGTCTAACACCACCGCTGTCTTCGCAGAAAATATTGATCTATTTGTTCAAAAGAATAATAAATGAGAATACAAAAGTCTAAACAAAAATTATGCGTTTCAATACAGGGAAAGTTAGGCAACCAATGATTTAAGATCTAAAAAGTTCCCAACTCCAGCACCTTTGTGTGACCAAAAACTTTACCACATGAGCACTGAAGCAGGCCGCTATACATCTACTCATAGCTGACCGAGTTATTACTGTTTCAAAAAAAGGAGAAAGGAAGAAGGATGTTCAGCTGCAATCGGTCGTTCTCAGAGTAAGAGTCTTCCACACCATAGAATTTGAGAAATACTAAGCAGATCTAATGTTAGCTAATGCGCACCTCCACATCAAATCAAGACAGAACATCTATTTTATATCGTAAAACATTGTGTAGTCCTTAAAACTAAAGTAATCAGATATATGAGCATCTAGCAGTAGCATTTTCCGTAACAAATTCAAGATGATACTTCGCTGATAAAGCTTGGTTAATGAAATATGCACTGAAAACGCTAACTTTAGAAACATGTCAAGGACCGTAAATACATTGTCATCTGACCTTTGAGTGCCACAGTGTTGGATGATAAAACAAATAAATCAACGATCAAAATCACAGAAGGACATTCCCAGACCTGTAGAACACATGCTCAAATTAGATATGCGTTGAGTCTAACCAAGTATTCTTGAGGAAAGTTCAAATATGAGAAAAGAAAAAACGGATTTATTTAATTTGCAAACCATACCATCATTGCAATAAGAAACATCTTGAAGTAACTTGAAATAAATATTGCAAGCAGAAGCTCTTTATACCTGTACCAGAATTTACAATATCACACTCATATGTTTATGTTTGTATATATGTATATATCCACTGAGACAAGACAATGACTTATCTCACTACTAAAGGTTGCTCCAGTTGTGAATCTTTCACACCATGACTCACGGGTGGTCATAATTTGTTCTTCTTCTTCTTATGTGGTCTATATCTTTTCGCTAAACTTTAAAACGTGCAAACCATACCAACTTAAGCCTGACTAACTTCCTACTTGTTCATAGCTCAGCATAATTTTGAGTACCCATTATCACTCTTAACTTTCTGAGCGGTCGCAAATCAAAGATGCTAGAAGGAACTCTCTAGTTCAGTTTACCCCATTTTATCGACTTACCAAACAGGCATGCTTCCTGAACAAGTTTCCATATAGACAGGTAATAAAGCTATGCCTCAGTTAAAATATTCATAGAAATCACTGCCATCCTGGGAAGTATACACGGGAAATGTTACCTGAGTGGTCTAGGGAATGTGCTGAAAAGAATCCTCATAGCAAGTAAAAATGTAGAAAGAAACATGATATTTCCAAAGACGATATCCATCAGCATCTGAAATCAGAACATCCTTTTCTTATTAATAGGAAACTGAAATGCCAAAATTCTCAACCCATCTGTTAAAATTTAATATAAATCATCCTACATGCGTGTAAACCCCACGAAATCCGATAATGTACCCACGAACCTTTTGAAATCTCCAAAGTAACGAGGCGAAGCTCATGGACAAGCCCCATTCTTCCTTGCTTCTTTCCAAAAAGAGACTCCTATCTACACACATTGCTAAGGCACCCAAAACATATATAAACACATATTATGTAAAAAGAATCAAAATTTAAATTTCCAAAAACACAATCCAGATAAGCACGGTAAGGATACAAGCATCCAGCAGAAGAAACCCGAAAGTCGACTTCCACAATAAACCCTGAAAAGGGTATCCAGAAAATAAAATTAGCAACTCCTGGTGACCCAAATTTTCAAAGGAACAGTAAAACTGTAAATTCGTAGAAGCAAAAAGCAGCATAATTTTCAGTACCTGGAAAGAAGGAGCTTGTGGGTCGATGACATTATAGAGTAAATGTGTATAAGCTTTGGTCTTGTGCAGAATCAAATCAATTAGAATAATCTGGCAGTGCAAACAAATCAAAACGTATCAAATTTGTTGAATTTCGAAGGAGAAAATTGAAGGAAAAAAAAAAAGATAGAAGCTTTACTATGGGTTCGCATTCAATGTACTCGTCTGCAACTGCCTTGCAATTACCCTATTCACAGAAAAACCTAACCAATTTAGCAGCAGAAAAACTCAAAAAATACAGAAAAAATTAAATAAAATAGGAAAAGAAAAGAAAGGAAAAGGGATATACGCATTTCATGAGACGAATGTTTCCGGGAGAGTATTGGACGAACAGAGTCGTCATGCGACCGCCGCACTCTACACATCTGTACTCCATGGCGCTCTGTGCCCCTCTCTCTGTGGGCACTCTGGAAACACTGGTTCTTCTTGTTTCCGGGTTTGGGCTTTGGCTTCGATAAAAGAAATAAAATTTGGGCCTTCGCTGACTTGTGCTCGTAAACGGTGTCGCTTTTAGTTTGAGCTTCTTTGTTTTTTGTTTCTTGTTGGATTTTTTAGGTTTTATTTTTGTTCGATTGGATTTGTGAGCTTAATCATGCATATGGTTAAGAATATTTACCTTATTATCACTATAGAAAGGAAATGCAAATACTATGTTTAAGATTTTAACAAATCTAATGATGTATCATCTAATTCACTGTAAACACCTTTATTTTTTTTATTAATTACCATAAACATTTGAAGACGTAGCTCTAGTTTGGTATTATTTTTTTTCATTAAAAATTGCTTCACTTTAAATTAAAGTAGTAAAAAAATTGTTTGGTAAAAATAAAATATAAGGCTTATTTTAAAAGTAATGACCTCCAAACAGCAGCTTTTAAAAGTAACATGTAGATTACTTTTAAAAGCTGCTTTAATAAAAAGCGGAGTTAAGCCTTTAGAATATTTTTAATTCTTGTAATAAGCTCTCTTTTTTTTGTTGAACAAACTATAATAAACTCATTAATTTTAAACAATGGCATTATTTATCCTTTTAGAAACAGCTTTTACACTGATTTTCATACTCACAACACTTTTAAAAATACAATCTATCAAACGCTCAACTACTTTATTTTGTAGCTGATTACTCTTAAATCACAACATAAGCAATTTATTAAAAAAGCACAGCAATCTGAAGCTGGCCCTTACTAAGTTACTATACAATTCTTAACATAACCCCCAATCGTTGTTCTAAAAATTCCCGCCTACAACCATCTACGCCTACCTAGGAGTTAGGCGGTGGACTATCGTCCTAATTAATCCTTAGGTATTTGAAAATTAAGAAAGGGCTCCTAGATCTCCGCATAGGCACCCACCTAGCCATTCTAGGCATTTGTCTAATTCGCAATTCTCACTTATACAGAAAATTGATAACTTCATTTTGCATTTTATATATTTTTAATAAAATGTAAGACACTTGTTGAATACTTGGTTGAACTCTCACTATATGCTTGTCCCCCATGTTTTCAATATTTCCTATACTTTATAATTTGGGTAAATTACCCTTTCATACCTCAGGTTTGGAGTCTATTTCAATTCCTTACAACATCTTCAAAACAATTCAATTTCATACCTTAAGTACTATTTTATTTCAAAATAATACATCCGTTACATTTTCCATCCATTGATCCGTTAAGTGCTGACGTGGCTGCTAACGTGGGACACCATGTGGCAAAAATAATAATTTTTTATTTTAAAAAAAACCACCTGAATCTTAAAAAAAATATTGAAACCTAGCTCCCCGCAAACAAACCCAGAAACCTTAAACCCTCTCACCCCTCCTCGACTCAGCTCCCTCCTCCACTCTCTTCACCTCCCCTCCCATCAAGAAACCCAGCAAACCCCCACCTTCCCTAAGCCCTTTCTCTTCTTCACCCCCACCCTCCTTTTTCTCACCTGCAACCCCACCCACCCTTAGCAAACCTAACTCTATCCAGACCACCACCAACCAAGCAGCAAAAAATTTCAAAACTTGAAGGACAAAATTAAATGCATACCTCGTTGTTGGAGCCGACCGACTTGCCGATGAACAGGGCACAGATGAGGGCAGGAGAAGAGCGTGGGTGTTGCAGATGAGAGGAGGGTGGGGGTCGGGTTCTAGACAAGATGGGTCGCCTGGGTCGAGATCTAGGTTCTGGGCGAGGTTGGACGCAGGGAGTTAGGTCGTCGGAGGGGGGAAGCAGGGTAAGGTCTCTAGGGGGATGGGGGAAACAGGGTGAGGTGGTGGGGGGGGAGATGTCGAGGTAGGTCGCATCGTGGGGGGTGCGGGCGGAAGGAGGGTCAGGGTTCTGGCTCAGGTGGGTCGTCGGGATGAAGGGGGAAGACGAGCTGGGCGGGTGTGGGTGGGGAGAAAGGGTTATGGGTTTGTGGGGGGGTGGTTGCGAGGAGATGGGATGGGGTCTAATTCAATTTTTTTTTTCATTTTTTTTAAATTAAGGGTTATAGGCTTGAGAAAATTCAGGTTTTTTTTTTTTAAATTAAAAAAATATTTTTATTTGCCACGTGGCAGACATTTGGCAGCCACGTCCACATTTAACAGATCAATGGATGGAAAATGTAACGGAGGTATTATTTTGAAATAAAATAGTACTTAAGGTATGAAAGTGAAATGTTTTAAAGATGTTGTAAGGAATTGAAATAGACCTCAAACCTGAGTTATGAAAGTGTAATTTACCCATATAATTTTTATGTTTTTTTTTTGGCAATGATGTATCTTAATACAATTATATTTTTTAAGTATAAATAGACACAATTTATACGATATATAATAAATTTACTTCAATCTGCCTAGACCTACCAACCATCTAGGTGGTAGGCCTTAGCCGCCGCCCAACTAGTCTCTAACGTCTTTTAGGACCTTGCCCTCAATAGTCTCCCTCTCTCTCTCTCAAAAAAGAAAATTATTAATGTATAATAAGAGGAGAAGGAAGAGGGTAGGAAACTTTTAAATAATTTAGGGGGAGCAAAGTTTGAACTCCGAATTCATGGGTGGAAATCCAACATCCTATCCGCTAGGATATTGTCCCACAAGCATCTCTCTCTTCCATCCTTACACTTATGATAACAATCTTAAAAGAGAAAGTAGGCTAGAACCCTAATGTGGTCCATGCAAGTTTGTGCCTGGTTAAAAATAGTTACTATGCTTGCATCTTAGCATAGCTTAACATAATTGCACTACTACAATATTAGCTTTAGGTGTCGGATAATGGTGGCGGTTTAATAAGCCATTATTTCAGATAAAAGATATCCGACACATCATTCAATTAGTGTCAGATAACAATGAAATCCTGACGGTTAAATCCGACATAAATTTCTGATGGATATTTAGTGTCTGATGCAACCGCCATAAAATTATTATAAATTATTATAACCACCAGTATTTTTGAATTCTTTTTTTTTTATAATATTTTTAACATATTCCGGCGGTTTTTAAGTTAATGGTGGCGATTATAACCGACATAAATTATATATTTTATTATTTTTGTTTCTGGAGGTTATTATTTTAGTATTTTGACGGTTATAACCGACACGAACAAAGTAAAACCGTAGCAGCTACACCCATTCTCATTTAGCAATGATCTTGAGCCCAAAGCCCATATGGCTCTCTCCTTCCGCGAATGTCCACAGTGTCCTTGGTAAGCCCAGAAGCTTAGAATGCGCACACATGTCGTGCATCAAGAAAAAGATCTCCCTAGGATTCCAAATGAAAAGTCATAAGTTTCTCTCATTGCTTTCATTTCCGAGTGTAATTAGAAACCCTAGGTCCTTCTCTTTCTAGAAACCGAAAGAGGTCTTCTCAGTTCTCATTTCTCTCAGCCCTTTCTCAAATCAACACAAACCCTAGGTAGAAGCCATAGCCGCTCATCCATCAACCATGATAAATGTCTTCATAACTCTTGACCTACACAAAATCTAGTCTTCATTGTTGTTCAAAAGACAAACCCTTCACCTTCATTTCTCTCGATCTGAAACTGTAATCCATGCCACCATGGCTCTTGGTCTCGTTCATGAAAGCCATCATTTGCACTGGATCTCAGTAGCGAAACCCCTAAGTCAAAGGTAAAAATCTCATTTTGCGAGAGTACACAGATCACAAAAAAGGAGGCGCACCAACACCCAAAAGTTCCAGGTCCATGGCGGATCGTCCAAGACTCCCCCATCTTTAGGTAAAAACACAATCACCCCCAAACTTCGGTTCTGATGTTATTTTCAAAGTTTTTTTTGTGCTGTGATTTTTACACCCATCCGTGTTCTGATGTATACACAAGAGCGGACTCCAAAGCTTGGATACGGCTATAAGAACCCGTAATTTATTTTTGTTTTACAAATATATTTATTTTATTGGGTTTTCTTTTATATATACATATATCTAATCATTTCTTATATAAAGGTTTTTGGGTACTTCACTCATATTCTTGTAATAGCTACGGTAGTACTTTGTGCCCGTTGGATTTTACTAGGCTTTTTAAAATAGATGTTAGTCTTGAACACCTTTATCCATTGGCTAGTGTCACTGTTTGGTGGTAGTATTCCATGCAAATAGGAGGTGTCAAACCTATTGCGCAAAGGTGTCAATCCTAGTATTAGGAGGTGTCAACAATTTTGCATGCAATCAACACGTGTTTGTGACTCATAGTTTTATAGGAGGAGCTGTCCATTTGTTCAAATTAGAGCATAGGGTTACTCGGCATAGCATTCCTATAAATAGGAGGCCATGCTCCATTGTTTTCCCATCTCAAGGAAACATGTAGAGCATGCATCGAAGGTTCAACGTAGAGAGAAGAAAAAGAGTTTAGGGTTAGAGAGTATGAGGTGTGTAGAGATGTTAGTTAGGTTGTCTTGTCAAAACTTGGATTATCAAGGTGAGTGGTTTATGTAATGTGTTTAAAATATTCTTATTTTCTGATAAACGAAAACCATGAGATATCATGGGTTTTGAGCTATTTTTAAATATCTCTCTATTTCAAGTCAAGCATGTTCGATTTTGTGAAGTACTTTCAGAGTTATTATATATATCTGATCAGTGAATTGTTTGAGATGTTCATGAAGTATGAGAACTTTGGTGTTGCATTAATCCGAGGGATAAAACATTAGGGTAGAATGGTCATTAGGGGTCACGTGGTGAGTTACAATTTATGAAGGATATAATGGACACGTAAAGGGATAATGTGATATGGAATTATGTGGCTAAAGCTTTGATATTAATATTGTATTTTCTAGAGTGTGTAAAATGGCATCGCTTGACTGACATATTATATATTTTACTCACTGAGCGACGGTGGTTGTTACTAACCCTTCACCTATTATTTTACATATGAGTTATTTGGCAAGACAGGTGTTATTTGGCAAGATAGGTGTTAGAAAAGCTGAGGTTGTGATTGAGGAGAAATTTAAGGATTTTAATTTATTACTTTTGTACACC